AATTATATCAAATGATGATGTATTAGACTCTAGATGCTTTTCTTCTTCTTCCTCTTCCTCATTTATACGGGCAGTCTGTTTTAAGCCATTTTCTTGTTTTAACTCTGGTGAACTTCTAGAGTCTTTTTGTTCCTCCTTTTCTTTTTCTTTAGTTATACTAGAGGCAGCATCTATTCCTCTAGATAGGGATGTAGTCTGCTGGCCATCCAAGTCTAATGCAGCATGTGAAGTAACAGGCTCTGCACTTAATTGTGTTGGTTTATGTGCAGAAAGCACTACTGTTTCTGCATATTTTGGTAGAATATCTCCAGAAACTCTTTCGTCATTAATATCATCCTCTAACCGTGGATACAATCTGCTTCCACTGGCTGTGGATTTTATAGGTGCAGCTGCCTTTTTAGCCAAATCATCTTTCTCAACATTTACTGGGGACTGGATACATTGAGTTTTCTCTTTTGATTTTTTAGAATCCAAATCGTGAATATTACCTTGATTTTCTTTAGTAGAAACATTGCCCAATGAAGATGTACTGTTTACAGTGTGTCTATTGAATACTTCTACTTTAGGAGTGTTTGATGGTGTCGGCGCCATTGTATGATTAAGGGGTTTATTGTCCACAGAAGGACGTGGATTGATAGCAACAGCAGCAGGCGCCACTATTGGTGTAGCTTGGTTTTTGTTCTGTTGTGTGGATGAATGATAAATTCTTTGAGCACTGATAGATGACTCTATTATATCACTTTCTGTGCTATTAAATGCTTCGCTGCTAGTTTCACTTTCACTTTTACTTATCTCTTCTCTTATTTCATATACAACTATTCCAATTGCGATCAAGATGCATAGTAGGAATATAATTAATAATATCTTAATGCTTCTCATTATAAATTAGTGATTTATCAGACTATTTATACTTTTGTCATTTAAATAACTGGTTATTTTCTATTTAAATTAAACAAATGATATCTTCAATTTATAACTTCTATGATTATAGCACCACAGTAGTTATACGATTATACACCAATAAAATAAATTATGAAACAACAAATAAATATATTTGTTGTATATTACAAGTGAATATATCGGTATAAAATAGAGCTAATAATCTCTTATTTGTCTATTTATACGTTATTTCTAACAGAAATATAAATAATTCTTGTACTTTGATGCTTTTTATCTTGTTTGATCTATTTTCTAGTAAATGTACAAATAGAATATATAAGAATAAAAACCAATAATTTATTTTTCTATACTTGCATATAATTCAATAATTATGGCAAATATCCCAAACTATTATTCCTTTGAGAAAATAAAATAAAATTAGAACATTATTGAGTGTACTATTATATAAAAAGCAGAACTCCATCAGTTGATTATACGAATTTGAAAAGCAAATGTATGGTGACACCACCACTCGGACGGGAGCCCTCGAGGGCGATCCGTTTGCGCGCCAGCTCGCGCGGTGATCCCGTCAAATCAAAAGGCCGGGATCGCTGAATCAGTATATCAACTTCCGACTATTTAACCGGAGCTCTTCCCCCAATTTAGGGGGAGACTCAGGGAAGCATCGACGGCTTAACGTAAGCGCCAGGCCTAACACAACTGCGCCCGGGACTCTGTGTCCACGCAGGCTTGGGCTGCTTCCTAAAGACAATAAAGAGCTCTCCCCTTTCACTCTCTTCTCTCTCTTGGCTACGTAGCAGGGCGGCGGTGGCGTTACTCCTCGTGAGTACGTCAATATCCAATAAAATCATGTTAATATGAAATAGCCAGAACATGTGTTTTTTTATAGCAGATGGTACCAACAAGCTATATAAATTTAGTAAAAAATTGAGGAAGTACTAGTATATTATAGAATATGCACTTTCTTATAAAACAATTATAGTTGTGTCTATTATGTATATATTACGTATTATCGCACGAATTTATTCGGAATATACCTATTAATGTGGATAAGTGATGACTAATTGTAAAAACATTATTATTAAAGAAAGAATCAATTGAGAGGGGCAAATAGAAACATACAAAATAGAAACATTATTTCTAAATAGCATATGTCCAGGGAATGCAGAAAGAAACCCGCTATACATGACAATGCGTTTATAGTCCATCTTTAAATTAATTAGAAGAAAGAGGCATGATTTATGGTTTGATTCTTTATAGGCAGAAAAAGCCAGATGAAATTTTTTTATGAAAGAGAAGAAACGGTTAAGCAAGAGAACGACTACAAAGACTAGAGAAAACTTAAGAAAAAAGGCAGCAAGTGCAGACAAGGTGCAGAGGCGAAGGGAAAGAAAACAAGAGAAAAGAGAAACAACTGGGGCATTCAACGCAGTAAAGACGGAAGAGGATAAAATGACCCTTAGGCAGATAAGAGAGAATGCAGAAATTAGACTAAAGTTGTATAACGAGGCGCAGAAGAACGGCTTAAAGCAAGACACTCAAGATGATATTTCAAGAAGATACATTAAGGAAATATACAAGGTGGTAGCAGAATCTGATGTTATTCTTCAAGTTCTTGACGCAAGAGACCCAATAGGAAGCAGAGCCCCCGAGGTAGAAAAAATAGTCCACTCGCAGGAGAAGAAGCTAGTATATATTCTAAATAAAATTGATCTAGTAGACAGAGAAAATTGGGGCAGCTGGCTAGCATACTTAAGAAACTATGCGCCAACTGTTCCATTCAAAGCGTCTACACAGTCGCAGCGCACTAAGCTCGGACACACAGAAAAAACAGAGCTTAAGGCAGAGGCATTTGGGGTGAAAGATCTAATGAACCTACTAAACAACTACTGCAGATCAGGTGGCTCAGTAACAGTAGGGATTGTTGGATGCCCAAATGTAGGAAAAAGCAGTCTTATAAACTCACTAAAGAGAGAAAAGTCATGTGAAGTAAAAAACACTCCAGGAGTAACAAAAATATTGCAACAAATTGTCCTGAATGGGTCAATTCGGCTGATAGACTCTCCGGGGGTCATCTACAACAAGTGTAATCCAGTAAGTGCAGCGCTCAGAGCAAGCACCTCTGAAGTAAATTTAGAAGAAGTTGTTTCTTTTATATTTAACAGAGTCGGCAGAAAAGAGCTAGCTATACTCTACGGAATAGCAGAGCCACAGACAGAAGACGAGCTTCTTATATCACTTGCTGTGAAGTGGGGAAGACTTACAAGCGGAGGAATTCCAGACAAAAGAACTGCTGGATTCATGATTCTAAGGGATTTACAGATAGGAAGAATTCGCTTCTCAACAAAAGTGCCAATAGAGTGTGCTGAGCTACCAAGTGCCAGTGATGAACTGATAAATCTAAATATAAATCAGAGTAAATTCGGGCAGTACAAGAAAGAAGAAAACAGTCTTTTGGACTCCACAGAAAACATAGAGAATATGTATGAGGCAATGCCAGATCTTTAATAAATATTAAATTACTCAGAAATGCATAATCAGTTAGAGAAGAGCACTGTATAATAGGATATAGTTTGGTAGAAATAATAGATACAGCGGGGGTTTCTATAAAATTAACTTGTACGCCATTTGGCTAGAAAATATATGCTTTATTGCTAGAAAGAAATACGTGCACGATTTTTTATTTATGATTATTAAAATGGGTAATATTGAAGTATTCTTCCCAAAGAATAAAATATACCCAGAACAGATGCAATATATAAAAGAACTGCACGAGGTGGTGCAGGCAAAGGGGCAATGCCTAATAGAAATGCCAACAGGCACAGGGAAAACCATTGTTCTACTGAGCTTTCTAGTGAGCTACCAGATACATCTTATGACGAAAGAAGAGGGGTATGAAAGAATTCAGAAAAATGGGTTTAAAAGAAAAGAAGGAATTTTTAAAATAGTATACTGCACAAGAACCACAGCAGAAATAGAAAAAGTCCTTGAGGAGCTAAAAGAGCTATATGAGTACATTAAAACATACATACCAGACATAGAGTACACTGGCCTAGGACTGGCTGCAAGAAGAACGCTCTGCTTAAATCCAGATATCAATGCAGTTTCTAGTCTTGTTAATAGAAGGTGCAGGCAGGAAAAAGAAGAATGCAGTTTTTACAAGGAATATTTAAAAACTGCTGAAGGTATGCCGAGCGGGGTATATACACTAGACGATCTAAAAGAAATAGGCAACAAAAAGGGGACTTGCGCATACTACACTGCGAGATCATCAATATTTTTAGCAGACTGTATAGTATACACATATAACTATATGATAGACCCACGAATAAACGATTTGGTTAGCAGCGGATTGGGGAGCAACTGTGTAGTTGTTTTTGATGAAGCACATAATATAGACAGTGTTTGTGTAGAAGTGTTAACAGTTCATATAAACAGAGCGTGCTTAGATAAAGCATGGAAAAGCCTGTCCGATATTTCAGAGTATTCGGTAAGCAAGAGCTTAAGCTTAAATAACAGAAATAAAGAAAAGACCGCATATAACAAGGGAAAGGGCATCAGAAGTGACTTTTCATCTCTTCTTGAAGGGCATAAATCAAGCAGAAAATTTACTTCTCTAGTACCAGGAACCCTCCGAAGCATAAATGGATTTATATCTGCTGCAAAGAGAATAATTGAATTCTTTAAAACAAAGCTGAAAAATGTAAATTTAACAACAGAAACCACAGATGTTTTTATTAAAAATCTGGAAAATACAGTATATGTTGACTTTTCGTCTATAGTTCATCTTTCTCGGAGGCTCCGGGAAATAATGGGCGAGCTGGAAATGCACGGATTTATTGAAGACTACTCTGAACTATCTAGAGTTTGTGACTTCTGCTCATTGTGTGGGCAGTTTAAAAAGGGGTTTTCTGTTGTTTTTGAGCCATTCAATTCCTATTCAGTTTATGAGCCCGTGCTGCATCTCTCATGCTTAGACTCATCAATTGCTATGAAGCATGTTTTTTCTGGGTACAATAATGTAATTATTACAAGTGGAACGCTTAGTCCCATTTCAATATATCCAAGGCTATTGGACTTTACACCAATAAAGTCAGTGGAAATAGATGTTTCCTCTAAGAGGGGTCTACATGCGTTAATTGTTACAAAGGGAAGTGATCAAATGACGCTGGCCATGGATGGGTCGAATGCTCTGTCAAGCACATTTTCACTCCGGGCGGAGCCTGCTGTTGTCCGTAACTATGGAAACCTTCTCCTTGAAATGTCTATGTCAGTGCCGGACGGGCTGGTATGTTTTTTTCCATCATACAAGTACATGGAGGAAGCTGTGGCTGCTTGGACGGAAAGTGGTATTATAAAAAAGATAATGGAGTGCAAACTAATTTTTGTCGAGTCATTTGAGCACGCGGAGACTGAAAGAGCACTTGATGGCTACAAAAGAGCTTGCGAAACTGGAAGAGGCGGGCTTATGCTTAGCGTAGCAAGAGGAAAGGTCTCAGAGGGGGTAGACTTTTCTGGCTGCTATGGGCGGGCAGTTTTGGTATTTGGTGTTCCATTTCAGTATACAGAGAGTCCTAGACTTAAAAAAAGGCTAGAGTTCTTGGCAGAGGAGTTTGGAATACGAGAGTCAGAATTTCTTTCCTTTGATGCAATGAGGCAGACTGCGCAGTGCGTAGGAAGGGTTTTAAGAACAAGCACTGATTATGGTTTGGCAGTGCTAGCAGACAGACGATTTAATGTGCCCGAAAAAAAAACACAACTGCCCAGATGGATACAGCGGCATTTAGAAGAAACAAGTGTAAATTTAAGTATTGACATGTCAATAACCCAAGCAAGGCAGTTTTTTAGGCGAGCGCCCAGTGCCAAATATTATAATTAGATATATCTAGATATAGAGATGAATCCCCTAGTATTTTACCAATAAAAATCAAAAATAGTACTCCAATAGGAATTCCCCCGTATTTAAACTATTAATTTTTTACCCCGACTATGCCAACATTCATTGGAGACCAGAATAGGAGTAGAATGGAGGGAAGAAAGCGCAGATTTCCTAAAGAAGTGTACTATGGTTTCTCAGTGATGACTTTAGGACTTCTCCATGTGCTTTGCTCGTCCCCCAGAATAAAACTATTGCTAGAAACAAAGCCAACATCCGTTGAAGATGCAGACATTTTAATATTTAACGGAAAGGCGTTTGATGTAAAAGAAGAACAAGTTGAAGAGGCCGGTATTACGTATCTGATTAGAGAGTATGTAAAGAACGGAAAGTACCGATATGTGTATATAAATGGCACCCGGCTAATATTTAACTGGAGAACTGGGGAGTATTATAAGCCACGGGGAGCTAAGTACATTGACACACTGACGAGGCAGGAAAGAGAAATACTGTTTGGAAAGAATTTGCTAGTGACAAAGAGCAAAAGTAATTTTTACATATTCTTTGATGCGCTGTTTGACACAATCAACGTATATACAATTTTTGGTATTTTGTTATGGATTTATATAGAGTATTATGTCTATGCCTTTATTATCTTTCTACTTATGGCATTTAATCTGATGAATGAGGTAACGGCAGATGTACAGAAGAACGACCAGTCAGATAAAATATCCAAAGTGGAGAGACACTCTTTTATAGTTTCCAACGACACCGTATCCGTAGTGAAGGAAGCAGACATTGTGCTGGGCGACTTATTGATGCTGTTTCCCTTTGCAGAGGTTCCCTGCGACTGCGTCGTTATCAGTGGATCTGTTGCAGTGAATGAAGGATTTGTTACTGGCGAGTCTGTTCCTGTTCTAAAAAAAGAAGGAGCTGAGGTTTTGGCAGGATCTATTGTTTTTCAAGCGATGGCTCAGGACGATTTGCAATATGTATACAAGGGCGAGGACTCTGAACTCAGGAAGTATTTAGAGCTGAATAATTGTTGTTTGGTGCGTGCAGTCAGAATATCTTACAACTCTGCTAGAGGAAAGGCATTTAAAAATTTGATTGGTCAGAAAATAACTAAACCACCAATATACTATGACACAATTAAGGTGATTGGTGCTATCGGAATTATGCTTATACCATGCGTTGCATCTATATTTACTTATTTACATGGCAGTGTGCCCACTAAGACTTTAATGTGTTATATGTTTGATCTTATATATGCGCTGGTGTCTCCTTCACTTCCCACAGCTATCTGGGTAGGAATGTCTATGTGCGCACAAAGACTTCATAGAAGAAAGATAGTATGCAAGGACATCTCAATAAGCAACATCTCGGGCACGATTACAAAAGTATGCTTTGACAAGACTGGAACACTTACAGAGGAAGGGCTTGACATAAAGTGTATAAACATTGATGGAGTGGAGATTTATTCGATAGAAGATATAAAAGATCCTATTGTTAGGCAGGCCCTTAGTCTATGCCACTCTGTGGAGAAAATAGGAGACAGGCTTATTGGAGATCCATTGGATATTAAGTTGCTGCAATTTGCTGATGGAGATGTAGAATATATAGTGTCAAATCAAAAAATGCAAAAAACTATCACTGCTGATGGAAAGCCTATTGGGAAAATAAAAGAAACATTTGACTTTGACTCGACAATAAGGAGGATGTCTACTGTTGCAGATCTTATGTGTGGAAACACATACGTATTTACTAAGGGATCAACCGAGACAATCCAGTCCATCACAGAAAGCCAGGATGATGTTAACAGAAATATAGAAATAGTTAGTGGGTATACAAGAGAGGGATATAGAGTTATATCGCTAGCAGGAAAACCTGTAAAGACTAGCTTGTCTAGCCGGGCAGAGGTAGAGTCCGATTTAAAGTTGTTGTGCACCATTGTGTTTGAGAATAAACTGAAGGAGGAAACTGCCAAAACAATAGAGGTTCTTAAGAAGGCAGGCTTATCAAATATAATGTGTACTGGGGATGCATTATTAACTGCTGTGTCTGTAGCAATGCATTGCGGAATAATTGATCCACACGTGCCGGTTATATATCCAAAATTCAATGCACAAAAAAAGAGCATTGAGTCTATAGAGTGGGAGTGTGTTAACGATGATGTTGTTTTTGATAAAATGTTAATGAAAGTTAAAAAGGGCCAGGACTACGAATCGTACATTGACTATGTGATTGCTGTCGAGGGCGCCCTGTTTGATCAGCTTATGGCATCGCTAGAGTACAAGCAGCTTCTTCAAAGGCGGTGCAAGGTCTTTGCTCGGATGAATCCTCTGCAAAAGAGCCAGGTTGTTGAAATGTATAAGGAAACAGATTTAGTGTGTTTTGTTGGGGATGGGGCTAATGACTGTAATGCAATACAAATAGCAGATGTGGGCATCTCTCTGTCAAACTCCGAAGGTTCAGTTGAGTACTGTGTTTCATCGTATCTGTCATATACCAAGGAAATATCCTGTATACTTGATATTATAAAGGAGGGGAAGTGTGCACTTATAACTACTCTAAGCAAAATAGAACAGATCCTTATAATAACCATATCCCAGTTTAACGCGCTGCTAATTCTCTTATTTAAAGGACTGTTCATGTCAGATACGCAGAATATATATATAGATATTCTCATAAACATTCCACTTTCCATACTCATGTCCCAATTTAGAGCATCTTCTAAACTATCTAATAAAAGGCCGCAAAAAAGACTTGCTGCTTGGCCGCCGCTTGTTGGAATAGTTGTGCACTGCTTCACGCATTTAGTGCATCTTCTTATTCTACTGAAGTATATGGAGTATCTAGGCCATGTAAAAGTAGATCCATCGAAGCCAAACAAGCTATCAGAGCAGTCTCAGCTGGCATCCGGAATATTTCTTATGTCAAACCTGCAGGCACTTTATTCTGGGCTAGAATACACGCCAGGCGCACCCTTTAGAGAAAACAAAAGTAGTAACAAGCTGTTTGTGGGGTTCTACATCTTTCACTTAGTGCTTTTTGAGCCTTTTGTTTATTGCAGTAAGTGATGTTTCTGGGTCTAACACTTATTTCTTTGTTAAAATCAGAAGTTTTTTTAATCTTTTACCACTATCGCTTAATGCAACCCTTGCGATTCTTATTCTTACTGTTTCAGACTCTTTTATAGTAATTCTGCTATCTAAAATAATGAATGCGCTTCTACTCTAAGTAGCGGCATATGCGTTTATTGCTATTTTATATTAGATATTTCTACTAGAATAAATAAACTTTTTATATATTTGTCTGGTGCCAATTCTTTTTGTAAGTTTTTCTTTAATCGATTCTTGGATTCTTGCCTAAATCCAGGCTTTTATGTGCTTTTCTACATATTTTATGTTTTAAAAAACTCTTCTCATTTTATTTTATTTGGCATAAGTCTGAAGGGGTTTGGAATTTTCTAAATATAAAAATAATTCGAAAATATTTAACACCAAGGAAAGCCAGCAAAGACATGAAGGCAAGCGAAATACTTAAAAAGGAAATAACCTACAAGTGGGCGGAAGAGATTGTAAAGGAAATAGAAGACGAAACAATACTAATACTAAAATATGACATCGTACTAAACATATGGATTGACGAAATAAACAAGCTAATACCAAGCATAAGAATTAAAAATGCATGCAGCAGAATGACCTGCCCCAAGACATGCCCGGTGTGTGTGGGTATAATTAACCTGATAAAAACACCAAGTATTCCCCTATGTATAAGCTGTAAGTCTATAAAACTGCTATATGTAAAGGTGAAAGAGATCAGATGCCACCCAATAAAGAGCCTAACCATAGATAGAAGCGTAATGTGTTTTATCAGGGAGCTAGAAGATGTAAATATAATAGACGCAAACAATACAACAGTATTTTTGTCTCCTAAAATATACGAATTCATTGAGAAAATAGACAAAGAGTATAAAAACCCAGTACTTATTGTAAGAATGCTAAAATACCTGGAGTATGAAAAGTCTGAAAGAAAAGACAATAACATGGATGAAGTCATTCACGGACTAACGGCCAGTTTTTTAGTCGATCCAAACTACATCGAAACAACAAGAATGAATCTATACCGGCAAAATAACATTGAGAAGAAAAAAGGCATGTGATAACAGCGCAGTTATTTTCTGTATCAATAAGACTTGTAATTCTATTTTGCCGGTCTATACGCATGGAATATATTGCAATAATAATAAAACTCTCCTATATGAAATTCGGGTTATTCCTCCTACTCTGCTCTCTTCCAATTCTTCTCCTAAGACTTGATTAAATATAAAATATTTTCTATTTTTATGCTTAATAAGGCGGTTAAAATAGTTATAAAATGAATTTATAAGGTTATATGGCCAGAAAGAACACTTCAAGGCTATACTTATTGGTTTGTTTTTAAAAATTTTGTATGGTTGCTGCTTTTATAAATTCTGCAGAATTTGCAAAAATAATGGAAGAAAAAAGAATAAGAGTGGAAGTAGATTCACAAGTTTGTGAATTAGATGCGGCAGAGTGTAATACAATTGAGGATATAAAGGGAAAGATAAAACTAATGTATAAAATAGAGGATGTTGAATTGTTTCATAAGGAAAATCTTCTTATAGATTCACAGGAGTACAGAAAACTGTTAGAGGGGATAGAGACAATAGACATAAAAGCAATACTGGGAAAGTATAGATGTAACAACTCAGCAGAAGAAGGTTCAGAAGAAGTAAAGGAGAGTGCAGCTCCACAAATAGCGCAGTCTGATTTAGATCGAGCATGCGCTATTAGTAATGTACTGCAAGAAGCCATTACCACTGAGCTGAATCAAAATGAAAATTCGCATAATATGCATAAAAACAAATGTATAATTAATGCAGAAGAAAAAGAAACAACAAAATCCGAAGAATTAATTTACAATTATGGTGTAAATAGTATAGAAAAATCTGAGATTATCGATGAAACTAAAAATGCCAATGAGAAGAAATACTCAGAAGAAGAGGAAGATATAAAACAGTGTGCAAGTGATATTTCTGCAGATTTGTCTGTTGAAACAGTTGAAACAAACACTTTAGAAGTTAACCATATAGAACAAAACAGTAAACCAATTAATACAGAAGAAAAGCTTCAAGAAAAGGACAATACTGATAAAAACAGAGACGATTTATTCTTAAATAATAAGATAGAAGATAATTCGATGAAAGGTTTAATAGACTCAGAAAACAGTATAAAACAGACCGCAGATTCTACAGTTGAGAATATACTTGAAGAAAATAGCGAGTTTGTTTCTATACGAACAATCGAAACAAATAAGGAGCTGTTCGTAAAAAAGAATTCTTTAATAAATATAAATGGAAAGATGTATTATCTGAAGAAAAAGAAAGGAAAAAGAATCACCACAAGCACACTAAGTCAAACAGTGACAAGGTTACTTCCTCGGCTGTCATCACTTGCCACCTATCTGTTCTTTGCAATATTTCTAACATTTTATATGAATTTAGTCTTTCTTATAATTCTTCTGGTTATTCTAACACTATTTGCATTAGAAAAAATTCGGCTAAAGATTGAATTTAGGCGCAATGATAGATTTAAAAACATGCTTAAACAAATTTTATGCTTTATTAGTTCCTTATGGCTGAATCCAGGACATAATATGACTGTATACGAAAGAACCAATGAATAAAATTATTATGCTATACTAATAATTAGTGAGTTATTTTTTATATTTGCATATTCTATAATAAAAATATTGATAAAACACAGTTAAAGATGTGAGGAAAGAAAGAGACAAACACATAAAGGATTACTATTTAGAAAGAATATTTATTGCATATGTATAAGTTAATAATACTGGTGTATTTATAAAATGACACTATGTAAGAACTATTGTATTAATACTTTAACCCAAATAATTATAATAGCAGAACGATTCTACTAAAAACATGGTGGTTTAGGAGTGTGCTTATAATAACTGTTTATCCACCATGAAGGGTTGTTATAAAATGAATTGTATCATTGTTATTTAGTACTGTGTTCTGCTCATTTAAAATGTCCCAGTCTACCTCATTTATTATGCACAAAATGCCCCCCTCTAGCTCTCCATTTGTTGAAAAGTGCTTATAGTCTCTTTTTAAGTGGTTTCTTTCTATGTAGTATATTAAGTCTTTTACTACAATTTCGCATGGTTCAAATTTCTCTAAATTATTCTTTAACTCATCTATGTCAACCAGCAAGGTTTCAGAGTTTACATTATCCTCAAGGCCGCCCCGGAATATTACTTTCATTTTTATTTCTTTTACAGTTTACAAAATATATAAGTATAACACGTAAACATTTTAATAAGAATAGAAAAATCTCTATGTGGGCATACACAAATCTTTATTGAATGGCTTATCTTCTTTTCTATACTAGAAAGAGCTAAGTACAAAGGCAAATATGCAATTGGTATACTTAAATTGGCTTAGAATGTCCATCCTCTTCCAGATATGGTTCCAAATCCATACGATGCTAAATTATAGACAAACCAAATTGGAGAAGTTATAACATTGAATGTTATTTTTCCTGTCTTTATAAAAAATCCATCAGTTGTCTGGGTTTGTATAAATGTGTGGGTAAAGACATCCTTAAATGTTCCCTGGGTGCCACCGCCGCTGTCACCGCCACTTGCCCCGTCAGCTGCTTTTACGTGGGATGTACTGAAATTCAGTAAGCACACAAGTAATAATACAGATATGAATAGCTTTACAATGTTCTTCTTAACCATATCTCATAGAACGGAGTGCTCTTTATATAGACAAATTATAAAACACTGATCGTATTTACTTACTACTATTTGTTAGTTTTGTTTCTATATTTACTCCATGTCACATACAATCAGTTTAGCTGGCCAATTACTTTATTCATTCATTTTTGAGTGGGGTTTGAGGATTTTTATATTTTACTCTGGAAGTGTCATGTGGGCAGAATTTCTTAGCGGATATTCATTTTATATTTTTGTCTTTTTATTGTAGAGTAGTATGTCCTTCTACAACAATCAGACTCAATACGGGCAACAAGGAATGAATCCAAATTCTTCACAGAATAACCAGAATCAAATGGGAATGGGGCCGAATAATATGTTTGGTGTCTCTAATGCGCAGCAGAATCAAATGGCACTTGGTGGCGCGAATGGAGCAAACATGGGGCAGAACAATAGCACAAGTCTAGTATTAAGCAACAACTCAGAGTTTGGAAATTCTTCTGGGCAAGGAAACAACAATCTAAGCATGGGGGGATTTGGTGCAGACAAAGGAAACAGCTTTAGTGGTGGGTTTGGCAATAATCAGGCTAACACTGGGTTTGGAAGTAGCAGCAATTCTTTAAATCCAGGGGGCTTTGGTAGTGGAATGAACAATATGAACAGTATGAACAGTATGAATAATACAAATAGTATGAATAATATGAACAGTATGGGTGGTATGAACAATGTGAATAATATGAGTAGTTTAGGAGGCTTCGGAGGGAACTCTGGAAACAACAACAATTCTTTTGGTCTTGGTTCAGGACAAAACACTACTAGTGGGTTCGGCAGCAATAATGGATTTGGAAGTAATAATGGGTTTGGAAGTTCCATGAATACTAATGGGCAGGGAAGTCAATTAGGAGGTGGATTAGGAAACACTGGATTTGGTAGCAACCAAAATACATTAGGCGGTAATACTGGTGTTGGTAGCATGCTTGGAAATACCTCAGGACTAGGCAACAATATGGGCTTTGGAAGCAACCAGAATAGCTTGGGAGGCAGCACTGGATTTGGAAATCAAATGGGAAACACCTCAGTAATTGGAGGAAGCCAGATGGGCTCTGTATTTGGAGGGAGCATAGGTGCAGGAATGCAATCATCTCTTGGCAGCGGACTAGGCGGAGCTCAATCGGGGCTAGGATCTTCTATGTTTAGACAGGACAGTGGGCTAGGGGCAAATCAGTCTATTTCCAATGTAACAAATAGTCTTATAAACTCCTCGCTAAAAAATGCAACAGGATCAGTGGATGATGTTCAGTGTACGATTGACTATCTAGAGAAAGCTTATGACCGGAACAGCCCTCTGTATAAATTCACATATACATTTTACAACTTAGCAGACCCGACTTATCCACATATGCAAAAACCAAGCAATGTATCGCTGGACGTATGGAATCAGGCAGTGCGGCTCAATCCAGCACCAGGGTATTTATACCCCGAAATTATTTTTGGATATGAAGATCTAGCGATGCGACTAGAAAAACAAAAGTCTGTAATTGAGAAGCTAAAAATAAGTAGAAGATATCTAGGAGACAGGCTTAATGAGCTAGTAGAAGGAGGAATTCTTCGGCTAACAAACAAACTAACTAGCATCAACGAAAAGTACAATGCACTGCTGGTTGATGTTCTTGAGCGGGCAGGAAAATCACTGGGCCTAGAAGTAAAAGGAGCATCTTCGCAGTACGCCCAATTAGAGAAAAGAGCGAATTTATTAAGCGATGGCCTGGCATCTTTGGCAGAGAATGCAATAGCATACAGGCGCGAATTTAATCTGGAGAAGGCAGAACAGACGGCATCTATACTTGAGGAGCAGCACAACATTCTTAACAATATGCTTGCGTCTGTAAAAAAGAAGCTGGCATAATAAATTTCTGGCAAGCACCATTAAAATAATATATTTTTATTTATTTTCAAACCCATATACCTTCATATTTATTTTGTATTTTTATTGAAGGACTTTAAATGTTTTCTCTATATTTAAATGACAATAATTTTATTACTGTAAAAGTGTAAACGAGACAACCCACATTTCTTTGCTTGGTGATACCTTTCTAACTAGTCTTGCAGTTCCTTTTATTCTTCTGTTCATTTCTTTTTCTATTTTCTCAGTAGCAGACTCTCCTGTTCTAATAAAGAAGTATGCATGTACTGTTGCATGCCCAGATTTATGTGGCTCTGTGGTTTTTTCCAATGCTGCAAAGTGCTTTATAAAAGTTAGTGTTAGCTCTGGTAGGTTTAGAATGTAGTGGTTAAATCGGGGAGATACATTCATTTTTTTTCTTGCCTCCGTTGCCTCTTTTAAAAACTCGTAGGCATCTAGATTGTAAAGATGCACTTTGCCCTCAAGCTCTTCATTCCATATGGCGCTCTCTACTTCTTCAAGGCCAAGCGCCTTTCGGTTGAGAATAATGCTTTCTTTAAAATTAGCAACGCTTGCTGGGTTTAGGTCGTTTGCCCACACTTCGGCGCCTTTATATAATGCAAGAATCGAAAACGGGCCCACTCCACAAAACATATCACAAACAGTCTGGTTTTTATGGATTTCTTTGCTTAAAACCTCCCTCTCTTTCTGTAGCTTTGAGTTCCAGTACACTTTATCATAATCTATACTAAATTTTAATCCATTTTCTCTGTGAACTGTTTTATATGAAGGAACCCCTTGAAGATGGTCTATTTCTATATTTCTGAACACATTTTCGATATTAGACTTTTTTCTTATTACAGTTTTGCAGTCTTTTATTTTGTTCAAAAGCGTTTTTGCAATAATTTCTTTGTGCTTTAGTGATTCCTCCTTTAAGTTTAAATGGATTATACTCCCTACTCTATTATAGCTAGACTGGTACTCTTTTTCGCATATTCCTGCCTTTTTTAATAGCTCATTGTGAGTGAAGTATTCATAGCTTAAAACCAGTGTAGCAGAATGGCCCTTCTCAGATGATTCATCTAGCACAATCCATAGGTTATCTGTTTTTTTGTACATTGCGTCGGTTTCTATGTGAATGCCTCTTTTTTTGTTTGTCTCCTGAAATATACTGCAATCTAAAATTCTTGGAACCCTTTCCATTTTCAGTATACTCTTTTCTGTTTTTAATGCATCTTTTATTTCCTCTCTGGCTATTTTGAGTATTTTACAAGGGATTCGTTCAGAGTATTCCCCATTCTTTATACTATTGTAGACTCTTTTTTCTTCTTCACTTTGCAAGTATTCTGTTGCTGCTTCTTCAGTCATTCAGTAAAATTTTACTTCAGAAGTTAACTAGAATAAGTTGTTTTTACACTTTAGTGCAATTGAGCTGCAAATATGCATATCTATACATAAACTCAATAATATCACACACAATCAGACTTTACATAGTAAAATACAGTGAGATGGAATTAAATAATGGATCCACAACAACATTAGACCATAATTATATCTTAAATTAATAAACAGCTTCCAATCAAAAACCATAATATATTTTATGCTAGCTGACACTATATAATATTATCTACTCTTAATGCCTTAGATCGTTTAAGGCATAAATAATATTTTATTTTTAATAATTTATGCATAGCTCACAGATTGTATTAATTAAATCAAATTAACAATGAAAAGACACATTAAATAACAATATACATAATTGATTTCTTAGAATAATTCATGAAGACAATTTAATGTTTATTGATTTTTGAATGCATATTTATACAGTAAAAATTAAATTAATTTATTTCTTTTAAGTAGTTTCGACTTAATGCTTTTTTAATAGAAAACAGTTTATTAATATAAGGCGGTTTAAGGAAACCTGGCTGCGCAGATGGCAGGCATCACATACTTACCCCTATACTTCATACGCCATTTATCATGCCTCTAGAGCGGATGTAAGACCTATTTAATGCCATTCTAGTGCCCAATTATACTTTATTATAATTAAAGCCCAATATGTGCATGCTATATGTGTTAATTAAATAAATCATATATTATTACTCTTATGCCAGACTTAGCATACAATAATTGGGGTGCATACTATATAGCTAGGCATGAAAACAATTTTAATTTCTTACATTAGGCAGTAGTTTTTTATACTTATATAATGCGGTTAATGCTATTAATACAATAGGAATTAACCAAAAACAGAGCGCACTCCACAGAATATGCATATATGGCGTGTCTTGAAGCGAGTAAGTGTTATCTAATATTTCATGTGCATTGCTTGCATCATATTTAGTGTCTATTTCATTTATTATATGATTATAGGCAGTTTTTATAAACCCGGTATCATACTCGTCAAAGGAAACCCACATTAGGGTTTTTTTTATAACAGAAGAAACAGGAAGGGAGTCACTATATAGTGATCCTGATATTGCACTCTTTATATGCTGATCCTCTATCTTAGGTAGATTTGGTTTTAATGCTTCTGTATTTAACCTTATATGGCCCAAATAAAAAGACATCTTGGTTAATATATGTGAGAAGAAAAAGCAAGGATTGTACCTTACAAGAACTTTATATGCAGTGATAGCATAGTCTAGACAAGCAGAAATATAAAAAGCATCAAATGGCATCATGCTGAGGCATGCTAAGATACTGTTTTTAGTGCTGTCAACTTTTTCTGGCTGGAAAATGCCAATGTTGATAGCAAATGGATCTAAATCTTGGTAGAAAGATTCAGTGTTTTCTAAAAAATAATGCTTTAGCAGAATTGGAATAATATGTATAGTCACTACATAGAAAAATCCAATAAAAGAAAACCATCTTATTGGAATGACGGCAAAATCTATCATAATTGAGTATGCGCTTATTAAACAGGAAGCACAAAGCAATAAAATAGTTGGAAGGGTGTGGCCAATGGTGTTTTCTTTTGCCATATTCACATCTATAGTGAAGTAAAGAGCCCAGTATATAATCATTGATATAGCTGAAAGGGCCAATGTTTTTTGGAGTATTACATTAATGACTTGCGCACACATATAGTCACCTGCTGTAAAGCGGTTTGCTTTTATATTGACTTTGCATGTTTTGTAGAAAGATGAACTATGGAATCCATTTGAAGAGCAGATACAGGCTAAAAACCCAGCAAATAAGAAGACATTGCTAAACACCTGGCCAAGGATGGAGATCCATCCCATGTTGTTGACTGCTCTGTAATACTTAGATGTTTGCTTTAAAATATATTTATAATCCGAAATATAATTCACTCCCAAATTCATTCTAAATATGATTGAATCCGATGGATTATGGTTCGAGAAACAGCGCAAAATATTTGGATAGAAAAGTGATGTGTGTTTTCTCCAGTATTTTTGAATTGAGTTTGTACTAAAATCAACTGCTTTGTAAGCACACAGTATATAAAATGTATTAAACAGTACAATACTGCATAGTCCAACTATAAGCAGCGTAGTAATCAGAAAAGACGACCCTTTAAATAGTTTGTTTGAGTATAAAGACAAGCCAATTATTTCTCTAACACGGGTAAAGGATATTTTTGCCTGCGATAACCAGCAACTACTGCTTGAACTTCTTCTAGGTCCGCGTGGAACTTTTGATATTTTATTCCACATCTTTCTAAGCACAGCAATATTATTTTTGTCTTTTTCATTAGTGACTCTACCTGTAATGAGCTGCATAAGATAGTCGGCATAAAAAACATCCTTAGGAAACTCTACGCCCATCTCCACGAAATACTCATCTGCTTCAGACAAGGTCCAGAATATATAATAGCAGAGTTATACATAATAATAACATAGTCAAATACATCCAGTACTACTTTTGGTACATGGTTTAATGCAACTACATTTGTATTACTAAATTTCTTTATATGAGAAAGTATATTTCTAGTTAATTCTGCATTAAGTCCATTCAATGGTTCTCCCCATATATTCATCTCTTTTATAGAAAGCATTCCCCCAATAACTGAAAGTATTTTCTTCTCTTCATGTGACAGATTCTTAAAAATAACACTTTTTTGCTCTTTCTATCCCAAATGTATTCATATAATTGTCTACGTCTGCTTCTGCCATGCCATTACATTTTGCAATGGAAACTAATATACTCCTAGCAGGAACATTTTCATAATCAACTGCAGACTGGGATATGTAATTAACTCTATTAAACCAATCACCAGACCGTCTCATAGAAAGACCGCCCGCCTTGTTTTTAGTATAAACATGCCCATATATTGTATGTGTAGATTTACACTTTCCTGCTAAACTATCCATTAAATTTAATTTCTCATGCTCATTCACCCCAATAATCCCTATGAGTTTTCCTTCTGGTATAGATAGTGTATCACTCTTAAGAACACATTCATTTTTCTTTGAAAGTACTTCATATTTCTCTAACTTAATAATAGTATTAAGTGTTTCATTAAATACACTTTCTTTTTTTACTGTTTTTATTTTTGAATCACTCAGATTTACTTTTATTTCTTTATTCTCTATCTGCATATATATTTTTGAATATTTTCAGTATTTATAGTTTTAATTTAATTGAAATTTAGTTTATTAATATTTGTAATTTTAAAATTATAATAATTTATCTTATACCCCACTAATGAATTACATTGTTGTATGCTAAGACTAGCATTTGTGTAGCATGCCATGAGTTATCTGAATGTTTACATAAACATGATAGCACAAATTAAATCAGAAATAGCTGTTGATACAACATGTCAGCATAAATTAAATTGATTATACGGTCTATAAATACGTATACAAATTAAATAACTGTCAAAGTTTAAGAATGTCTTTTCCTAAGAAAACAGCTGACATCGTTAGGTTATTTATTATTCGTAGGGCATAAATAATATTTTTTAAATAAATTATGCATAGTTCGCATTATTTAGCTATTTCTTATAATAATACAATTTTAATTAATATTTCTAGATTGAATTTAACTTTACTTTATTTAGCTTCAAATAATAAATAAAGAAAGCTATCTAGTGGTATATAGAATAGAGTTTAGAAACAATTATAATAATCTGTGGTGACACTGCCATTCAAGCATGAGCCCTTAGGGGCAATTCGTTTATATGTCAGCTTGTGGGGCAATTTTTCTAAGAAAAAGGCCGGAATTTTAAATAAGCAGATAAACTTCTGACTATTTAATCCAAACTCTTCCTCAAATTTAGAGGGGGGCCTGGAAGGCATTAACATCATACTTTGGCATTGTGTTTGGCACAGCCGCATTACTAAAACTCCGAGTCTGCATGGCCTTAAAATACATCCTAAATACAATAAAGAGCTTTTCTCTTTTGATTATCTCATTTATCTCGGCTATGTAGCAGAATGGTAATTACATTATTCCTTGTGAGTACATTAGGAATTGTTTAAATGGCATGGTTAAATTTTTCTTTTTCTTTCCCTCTGCTCTCTATGTGTTGCCCCTTTTTTTGTAATCCCCCTATTTATGAATTTAATGTAGTTATTTCTTTATTAGGCGTTTTTAATTAAAACAAATTAAGTATAATTATTTTGTCTAATATATACGTAGTAGTACTAATTAGCGCAGTGTAGAGTTAAAATCCTAGTATGAAATAGAAAAACATTTAATTTGTTAATTGTGCCAGAATTCGGGTTATTTAGAATTGATATACATGCTTTTATTTATATTCGGGTTATATAACTTGAAATTAATATATTAATATTATTTTGTTAAATACATATAATGTATAAGATTAATGGAATTCCTCTGGGGAATAAGGAGATTAATTTATTATTTGGGTATGAAACTCTATAAACTACTGATCTGTGTAAGAAAACCGGCAAAAACGGTCTTATTATTTAAGAATTCGTAATTATGCAATTATTAATTTGTTAGGTATAAATAATTTAAATTTTAAATCATTAAATATATTATGCGTACCTTAAAAACCAAAAGTGCAAAATCCAGATTTCTTTCTGCTGTACAAGAAGATGATAAAAAATCGCGAATTTTGTTTAACGATAGCAGGATTATCTGCGTTGGAAAGAGATTCTATTTAATTGCACTGCTCATTATTTATAAAGCAGTTGCTCGATTAGAGCTAGATGATCTTTTAGCCCATCAATCAAGTGTAATTAAAGGTGAAAAGGAAGAATATATTATAAACCCGAAAGGCCCGCTTAATCTGTTGCGGGGTTATATTTACTATAAGAAGCATTTTATGCTTAACAAGCGGCTGTTTTCTCCTGAACTAGACATTAGATATGAAATTATATTAGATACTGCCGATGACTCAGATAATGTTAAGTACTTATATAAAAGAAGCCCACAGAATGATACTGTGCGGCCATTAGAAGCTAGTTCTGGCCCCAAAAGTGAAGATAAATACAGGTGCCAAGAACAGGAAAAATTAAAAAGATACACAATTGGATATCATCGAAAGCTTCTGCAGATGTTTACAATACAAGACAACGGAGCATGCATTGAAACGGGGCGAGGTGATTCACTAACTACATTCCTTAGATATACTAGAGTAAAAGAGCACTCAATGGCAATACTGGCCACTCTTTTATTATTAACTGAGGGAATAAAAGTGCCTATTAAATACGTGTCATCAAAAGAAAACATGAATACACAGCTCATTATACAAAAAAAGAATCGAATACAGGAACACCTTTCAGTTAGTATGCACGTGCCATATAAATGCCCTATCAGTAAAAGAACTAAAAGTGTTATGCAAAAAGAAGCCAAAGGAATTTTCAACTTCTTTATATCCCACCAAAAAAGCTCATTCCTAAAGTGGGATGATGCACTCATAGAGCCAAATACTCTAGAAAAATTCAATTCTGGAAGATTTCTAAATAGCCTGCCCTTTTTAATTCAAATGTACATCTTTGAATTCATTGACAATATAGAAGATGCAAACAAATTCATCTTCGCAGTATATGAAATACTAAAAGAATATTCTGAAGAAAATGAAAGTAAAGAAGAAAAAGAGACGGATCATGCTATTTCTGTTTTCAATAGATGTTTTGTACCAGCAAATCAATTAGAAGCGTCTCTTACATACATAGATAATGTAAAGAAGGTTAAATCGCTAGAGGCCATGAGAAAGTCTACCCCGTTTTTAAATTCTGTGCAGGTTTTTACATTTAGCAGAATTCCTATGCAAAATCTGCCCAGTAGTGATGAGCTGAAGCATGGCATTGAGTATTTTGCTAACTGTGTTGAATCTTCAATACTTAGTCTCGTGTGCTGCTTTATGTATGATCCAATATTAGGGGAATATACAACAAGCCATCTTCCAAATGCAATGCCAAAGCTGCATAGCTTCTTTATGAAGTATAAAATGCCAACTGAATTTATAAGCTTAGAGATGCATCAAAAATGGAATGAGATTGTTTCGAATTTAGAAAACAAAGAAGTCTTGTATTGTAATAAAGGTAACGAACTGATGTCAGGAATCATAAACATTGCTGCAGTTCTTATTGAAATAACAGGGATTTCACACACATTTGCTAAAAATATATATCAGTTTAAAAGCATAGTTAATTCAGAACAAGAAATTACAAATGAGATGCTTATAGAACTGGCTACAGTTTTAGAAGACATATTTCTAGCGCTTTCTGTGAATAAAAGTTTAAAGCTTTCCATGCTGGATATTGTCAAGTGTAAGCGCAGTGATCCGGCATATGATCTATTCGGATGCCTTAGTATTAAATATAAAGTGTGCAAGAACAAACAGAAATTTTGCATAAAAATATCTTCTTTTCACACACAGTCCGCAGTTATTGGATCTAAGCGTTCTATAAGGACGGCCAGCTCATTTATATTAAATACACCAAGGAAATATGAAGATCCAAACGATTTCTTTAGTCATCTAGTCAATAGCTACATCGATGTAGGGCTTAAAAGATTAATCAATTGCGCAGAAAATATAAAAAACACGGATTTTATTGAAGAAATTTGTCATGCCGCAAAGACAGATTTTATAAATGTGAATAGGATATTAATGCTAGATTCAATTTACACATTGCAGTCTAAATTTAACATATTAGAATACTGTTCAATATACATGTGTAACAAAAATCTGGATAAAGATTATTCTGGAGTAAAATTCACGTCCAATATACTAGGAATTGTTCACAGTTTTGCCTTATCAAATGTCAGTAGTCTGTTGTCAGTTATAATATATACTGGAGTGTACAAGTTTTACGGCTCAAAAATTAAAATAAATACAAAAGGCAACTGGCCAGTTCAGCTGCCAGATTCAAAGGCATGCCTAGGTCTATTTAATTCTATAGTTTCCATAGGAAATAAAGAGCTTCTTGTGGATGCACTGGATGTGTTTATGTCTTTTGATACAGGTGAGCGCCCAGGTGATAATGTAATACTACTTATAAAAGAATTAAGCCACGAAACATTCCGGCTTCTACTAAAAGATGAAGATCCGGCATACGCACAGAAACTAATTCACATAATGAAAGCGAGATACCATGGGCATGGCCACACTCTATCAAATATTGTCTGCTGCATATGGCTATTTTATGCGTGTAATGATGAAGACATTTCGATTGAAATTATTTGTTTGGTTTTTGATATGGTACAGCCATACTGTGACAAAGACATCTTTAATTTTATATATACCCCAGATAACTGCAGCCATGCTATAAATGTCTTTAAAAGCATGAAAATTCCACTATACGGTAGAAATAATGGAAAGAAAAAGTACGATAAAATTGCAAATGTAATAAAAGAATATCAAAGAGGGTTTAATACCGAAAGCACTCCAGGATGCACTTTGCTTACACCTGAAATATAGCCAAATGATCTTAGAATAGCATTACTAGGAAAATACAAAATGTATTTCTATTAGTAGACTAAAAATAAATTTTATATTCCAGGTTAGCACATATTATAATTTTTATAGCAAATCGCCAGAACTCTCGCATAGCATAGCAAATTATATTGAAAATGCTTATTTATTTAGAATTTCCGAATATACTGTGTAGGGTAGGTTACATATATAAATAAAACATGGCTCTAAAGAACCTAAAGTATCTGAAAGTATAAATAAGCCATTATATTCTGCATCTATTAATACCTATTTATTTCTTTTGTCTGCTTTCTCTTAATATCTTTGCTAACAAATTGTTTCTCTCCTCTGTATCCCCTGACGTAAGGCACTCTACTGTGTCTACATCTGTTATGTTCTTCTTTAGGTATTCAACTATTTCCTCTGAGTGTAGTACCTCTTCTTCTTTTTCTTCATTCTCTATTTCATTTTTTGGATCTACCAAATCACTTATTAACGTAAGATGACTCAGCGTTTTATATGCATAATCAGTTAGAAGGCCCAATAGTTTTATATTAATAGATTCTGACCAATCAATTTGTTTCTTTTCTGTACATTTGCATTTGAGAATAATCACATCTCTTCTTATTTTCTGTTTTATAGGGAGTATACTTTCCTGTTTACTCTTAGGTTTGTTTGTATTAGACATCTTGGTTAAAATATTTATATGCATAGAGTCAAATGCCACATTAATTTTCTCAATTTCCACTGCTTTATCTAACCTGTCTTCAGAAAGAGAACACGTGCAGTACGGAAATTCTGCAATGGGAGAAAGTCTTCTATAATTAGCATCAATTTTAGACACCAGCTCATCTTTATATACATTTATTGCCTGGTTGGTTTCTTCTTTTTTTCCTTTCAGCGCATGTGATAGAATTGAGTCGTACGGATTCCTGCCATCCATTGTGCAGTGATGAAAAATTTACTAATAGAAATACAGTAGAGTCACCCATGAAATTTATTGAGAAAGCAGAGGACAAAGCAAAATCCATTTCATCCGCAGAAGCACTAATTATTGTAGAAAGAACCAGAATGGACAGAAGAATGGAAGGCAATGATGCGTTTCAAAGCATTTTAAAGTATTTAAGACTCTGCCCATCCCCAAGAAACCCGTCCTGGGCAGAAAGAGTCAGAAGAACTCTTGTAAGTGGAGGAATGACAGACTATGAAGCATCACTGATAATTAATCTGTCACCAGAAAGACACATCGATGCAAAAGCACTAATACCCTCACTTAATAGGATGGATAATTATAGTTTAGATACACTTCTTAATAGTATAAGTGATATTCCTACTAACTAGAACTTATTATAATAAGTAGTAAATGTAATATTTGTTTTTGTATTTACTTATAGCACTAGCTATTATTAGTAATTATACTTTCTAAAGCTTTTGTGTTTCTTATTGAGGCGTTTAGTATTTAGCCAATAATTTTTCTGAAACAATTAGTAAATAGTTAATAGACAGTCATGCCTGTTTAGGAATGAAGAAACTAGGAGTGGCAATAAGAGCAGGGGTCACATTATTATATCTGTCCCAGGCGTATTCCTTTTATAATGAAAATGCTGCCCGGTGCCAGTTATTTGGGATAAGCTATAATGACTGCATCGGATCTATATACAGGCCTTCTTCAATATACGATGCATATATTAAGAGCTTCAATCTACCAATACATAAGGATGAAATATGTTCATTTTCTGCATGTAAGGCAGCACTGCTAGGCAGTGGTTCAGACAGGTTTATAAATATTACACAGAACGCGCACCCGCCTGGCAATTGTGTATGCTTAGGGTCTGCGATGTGCGGATGTGAGGTGATTGCTGTTCCACAGCCTGCTCCACCCGCTATTTACAAGATTCCAACTATTTCTATTCCTACAATAGAGCCTGTCCATCATGTTGTGACAAAGACCGTGAGTGAAATAAAAACAATTACTGTAAAGGCCTCAGAGCCAGTGGTTGAAGTGCCACCAGTGGAATATGGAAGGCCCGTGATATCTACTGTTGCACATCTGTCTAATAACAGCGACCAGGTTAACCAGGAGCTTCTTCTAAAGCTAAGCAAGCAGATAGAATTGCTTTCTTCGGATAACTACCGCCCAACACCATGGCCAGAGCAGCCGCCGGTTTTAAAGCAAGAGAGCAACACTCCTGTGGTGTCTATGCACTCTAATGCTGAAGATATTCATTCTATTGGCAACGTCATTACCATTCCATACTCAACAGTTACAACAACAATGCATGTGACAGTCCCTATATATAAGACAACAGTCCGAACGCAATACGTTGTTAACACAGTGGACAATTACATGACAGAGACTAAGACAAAAACAGAAACCAAGACAGAAACCAAAACAGAGCCAAAGACGGTAATTAAAACCATTACAGAAACTATCAGTGATCATATTGAAAGAACCAAATTTAGAACTGTTTATATGCCCAAAACGGTTACTATTAACCAAATATCTACAGTCACAAAGTATTCGGCGAAAACAATAACAGTCACAAAGACGCAACCAGCTCCACAGAAGAAAGAAGTAAAGAATAATTCTTTTATAAATCTGGCAAAGATCAAAAATAGTCTTTCTTTCGGGGCATCTTCTGTGAATATTAGGCATAAGATAGAACAGAAGCCAACAAACAAGAAGTACTTTATTGTGCAAAAAGAAGTAAAGAATAAGCTTGTATGCCAGCAGGCCTGCACCAATCCAAAGATCCCCCTCTCTGGAGAGTGCTCAGTTAGTGCAATTGGAGTCTGCCCCCCATTACACGCACAGACTGGATTTAAATCTTCTGTTGCAGTGAATAGCATGCAAGATACTGAATGCAAAAACAAAGACTGCACTGAGCTAGTTAGAACTGTTTATGTTAGAGCACCCGGAAGCGCTCCCGAAACAAACCAGCAAGGAAATAAGACAGTTAAATAGAAAATTTTCTCTTCTAGCAGTGTAAGTATGATTCTTAACTGTGATAAGTATTCTGGCCAGATTCCCATTTTAGCTTACAATTGAATATATGCTTATCTAAAATAATAAAAGTATTTAAATATTTTTGTATTTTTCAGAATCGAACTTGGAATGCTGACAACAGAGGATTTATGCAGAAAAGGATTCTATGGAATACAGATAAAAGATCTCAAGAAAAATGAAATAATCACACTAAAAGACCAGCCAGGTGTAGAGATTGTCACAGAATCTTCTCTTAGAAAAGTGAAGGAAACTTTAGATCCAACACTTTTTAAGCAAGACCCAAATGCCAGCATAAATTCTTATATACGGGCAAGCAACAAAGAGTTCACGCAATATATGACCAATGGCAGATTAAATTTTAACTGCCCAGAGTATTATTTTATTTTGCACGAACTAGTAGTACATGACCATCCAGTTAGCTGTAATGATACACGAATAAAGCTAAAGATAGGTGCCAAGTCGTTCTTCTACTTTATAAAGAAGCTGGTTCTTTCTGGAGTTGTCAAGAAGCTAGAAAATGGAAGTAAAATTGCGTTATGTAAAGATGACCTTCCGCAGGAAAAAGAGCTTCCTGAGTATCCGCCGCCAAAGCATTTATTACAACATGTACCAATATATGTGCAGATCCGCAATTTATTGACAAGAGCAGAAGGAACATCCACTCAGCAGATTAAAGAATATTTGGGGATAAAGAATAGGCAGGCGCACGTTGCACTAAGACATGTCATGCAAGAATTTGGGGATGAAATAAAAATAGTAACAGAATTCGAAGGAAAGACAAGAAGGCACCGGTATATCTTAAAAGAGCACTATGGCAATAAAGAAAAACAGTTTGAAAGCCATATGCAGGGTGTGGAGGCAGCAGGGTCTATTGAGGTACACAATGACTGCATAGACACCGAGCAGCGCACTAGGGTGATAGAGGACTTAGTATCAAAAGAGCAGGTAATCATGTACAATAAGGCATTTCATCAAAAAATATCTGAAATACTTGGCAGTAAGCATACTATTGATAAGAACACTGTTGTACGAACTGCCCGGACATCCTCAAAGATCGATTTGGTATGCGTGTATATTAAATATGCAATGAAAACCATTTCCAGAAATGTGTTTAAGATATGTTCGCTAAAACCAACAGATCCTGTGATCATAAATTGCATAAGAAAGGAGGGGTATAAGTCCTTTAGCATTGTGACCAATAACGGTGTAATTGACTATAATTATGAGGATGAGTATACAGAAGACAGCCCACAATCGGCTGAAAAGAGTACTAAACCAAGCAGGCTAGATGACTCTAAGAAGTACTATAGAGGCATACTATTCACCGAGTATGAAAACTTGTTTGCATCTGAAGGCAATGGGTATGTGCTCAAAAAAGAAAACCGACTGCGGATACTAAAAGATTTCTGGAGAAAATCGTCATTAAGAATTGAAAAAAACCACCAGACCGTGGATGAATTGCCAATGTGGATTCTGTTTTCTGTGTTTCCATTTTCGGCTCCAAATTTAAGAAACAAAGTGCACGAGTTTTACAGTGGATTAGAAAAAGACTGGGAAAGCGTGCCCTATAATAACTTTAGAAAGGATGCTGGAGTAGAGCTGTCTAAGTACTTCACAGCTAAGAAATATCTAAACATTTTAACTGAATATATAGATGAATTGTTAGATAATTTAGAACTCAAAGAAATGCCCAATCCATCAACAAATACCGTGTATTATGCACTGTGTGATAATGAGGTGGCCAGTTCAGTTGAAGAAGATAGTTTAATGCGAAAAGAATTGTCTTTCATAAATAAAGAAGAGAGAGAGGCTCTATATCAGTGCATGTGCAATGAATTGGAGAAAAGAGCAGATTGTTCTAAGCCGGATGGCACCATTCCAAAGCAAATAGCATTTGGTGTGGGAATAGATTCAATATTACGCAGCAGGCATAACAAGGAGATAAAATCAGATATAATTGGGCTTTTTATTCGAAAACAGTCGTTTAAAAAGACATACAGCATATTCAACAGTTGTATGAAAATATCTCCAGCAAACTATGACCAGCTTTGTGCAGAAGATATAGAGTTAAACAACAAAGTATTTTCAAAGGAGCAGATACTTCAGTGCATATATGCAGTAAAAACAGAATTACTTAATATGGGCACTGTTTGGGCACTTGAAGCCTTCCAGGAATATGACTATTTTCTGCTTGAATATGTGATTCTAACACTCAATGCATATAAAGTACTCATGCTCTCTAAAGCATCAATAAGGAACAATGTGATAATTCAGATAAAGATATTTGAAGAGTACAAAAAAGCGGTTACAAATGCTAAAATAGCACTGTATAGAACAAATGGTATATCCGATACCAATCAGGAAAGTAGCGAGGCGTATTCTTCTAGCATGTATCTACAGACCTTTGGAATAGATGGTATTAGCAAAATATCTTCTGATAATAGTGCTGTTTCTTACGCTGCTGCATCTTTGTTCCTCTATTTAATACATAATGGAGCAGTATGTCTCAATAAAGCACAACAAAAGAACTTTACTACCCGAATAGAGATAGAAACTATCATTAATCAGTATCCAACTATATTTCTGCTTCATATAAAGAAAAAGTATTCTGATTCAGTGGTAATGCTTAGATAGCCATCTGGTGTATACTGATTTGTTGTGTAACCTTGATGATTTATAGATTTTCAATTCTATTTGTAAAAATAAACTCTTCACTTTGATATATTTTATAGTGGTATAAGTACGAATTGTCTTTTTAATAAACTAGTATATAAACACCAATTTAATTTAAAATGAATATAATAAACAATTAGAATACGCGTGTTTAGACATATTAAGATAAACAAGGGAGAAGAAAGAAAGCTGAGAGATAAAGAGTAGTAAATAATGGTTTTAAACCAGTAAAAATATTAAGTGCGTATTAGTATTTATTTCCATTATAGAAGGAAGCGTATTGAAGAGACCAATTTCATGCTATGTTTATATATTGGATTTAGATGCTTCTGGAACAAGCAACTCAATTGCTGGATTAACTGGAGTGCATTCTGCCGAGGGAGTATCTTGATCAGATGGGTGTTCACTCTTGATTTTATCTGAAAAAGTTACTCTTTTTTTTACGCTCTTTTCAATTTTGTTGGGGTTTTTAAGAGCAGATTTTACCTTCTTTGTAGACTCAAACACTATTGGCTTGCTGTCTGATAAGTTTGCTGCTGGCTCCTCGGATGGGTTGGCCGATGGCTCAGCAGCCACTTCAGTATCAGCTACGTCAGAAATTTGAGAGGCATTTACTTCTTGAGGGTCTTCAAGAGAAATGTTTTTCTGTAAGTAAGTGTCAATTTCTTTAGTTGTTTCTAAGCCACTGCTAATGGATGGGCTTACAAATAAGACCTCAAGCTCATTATGTTCAGCCTTTTGTAATTTAACTGCTGAGAGTTTTTTTACTAATTGGGCCTTTATCTCATGTATTACCTCTGTAAAGAACATTACAGGGAATTCACTTCTTAAGCAGTCCTCAACATCTGTTGTTAAAGAGGCAAGAGTAGATTGATATAACTCGGTATATGCCTTTTCAAAGTCCGAATTCTTAGCCAGCCAATACTTTAGGTAGGTACTTGGCTCATATGCTTTAGAAATGAGATACTTAACTATTCTTCCACTTATTAAAGTGTTTGGCCTTTTCCCAGACATAAGGCTGGAGTATAACTTCTCCTCTGCATTGAAAAGAGAGTTGCTAAGATCCAGGGAGGACTCCCTCATTGAGTGAACAATTACCATAGGGAGAGATAAATCGGATGTTTTTGGATTAGATGAAGAAATAATCTTTTGAATCTTAGAAATAAGTTCAAATGAATCCAAAAGTAAGGATGTATCAATCTGCCTATGTACTGGAGGCTCAACTTCCTGTAGTTGCCTGTCCATCTCTTCAAGGCACAGCTGAGTTTGCAAAATAGCATTTTCAACTACAGTAAGATTTCTTGGTGGTCCGATAGGGGCTTCAACTGGAGCATCCATAGGAGCATCTACTGTAATTTCAGATGCTTCTGCACTGCAGGTTACCACTCTTAACAGATGGATTGTTTTGTTCTTTATGCTAGATCCATGTCTGGCAGCATTTGCTGGAATTCTTTTTATCCCCCCATAAAGTTTTCTAAATATAGATTTTCTTTCTCTGGGGGCATTCTCCGAATCACCTGTGGTCTCTTGTTCAGGTGCCGGCTTTTCATCATTGGTTGGCTCGGTAGTTTCAAGCACCAAAGCAGAAGAAGGGTCGGATGGCTGTGCTTCTTCTTGTGGTTCACCAGAAGAAGGGTTTTCTGTAGGCTCAGAAAGCTCAGCTACCACATTTTGATCCTCTGCTATGGTATTTGTAGCAGTGATGTCATTTGATGATATTACTTTTTCCATTCTGATTTTGCATAAGCCCACGCCTATTTATACCTACAATTGTAAACAAACATAAAACACGTGTGTTTTAGAATGTATTTAGACCGGTCTTATTGGTCTATTTCTTTGTTTGTTAAGCAATTTATTAGTTCTTGTTGCAGCAACACTAAACAAACATAAACAAACACTCAAACACGTGTTTTATTTTACTATGCTTCTGAGGTGCTCTTTCAGGTGTACAGTACTTTTTAAACTCTAAATAAGTAAATGCGCTTTTAACTATTTATGCTTTGTATAATTTAATATATTTGCAATTTTTTTTAGTTTTTATAGATTTTTTCCTGGTTAGACATTTTAAAATTGATTTCAAGATATATGATGTTTCTAGTACAACCTATTTTTCTAGTGTTAAATATGTATTTATTAGGGCCAAGGCAGGTATCTTTATATGCAGGTACTTTTATTACTGAATAATTTCTGCGTGTATATATATAATTATGCTTATAGGAATATATAAAATAGGCTTTAAATACTTTAAATAAAACCTTTGGCTCTTAGATACAAAATCACTTCTAGCTTCATTAGAACCTATTTTAACTTTAGAAGAGTTATTCGATGTTTTAGAGAATTCTATGCCACTTCTAAATTCGTCTTCATACTCATCAGCATCCTCGTCTATACATGTTTTATATTTGCAGTACAATATGTCTATCCACTCATCCATGTCTTCCTCCTGTTTGAATATAAGGCTGGAGATAGTTTTACTGTCCTGGGAATTAAGTAAAGATTCTTTTAGCCCATTAATTTGTTCTTCTATTCTATTTATAATACGGGAGCTTCTTCGTATTTCCTGTATGAATTTTTTATCTGAATAATTCAGCATATTTAGCTCTATTTTATTATCCGCTGAGTATGCATCTGCTTTGTCTAATATTTCATTCAGACACACTTCTAAAGTTTCAATATTTTTTTGTAACAAAACGGATATTATATTTATTCCAAACAAAAGCTTGTTTATGCTTGTCTGCAGGTATATATTTATTCGCTCTACATATTTTACATCAAAGAAGTAAGGATTAAATAGAAACAACTCATCAAATGCTTTGTTAAGGCCTTCCTGTATAGATTTTTCTGCATACTCAATTGTTGCTATTTGGTCTTTGGTTTTTTCGGTTAACTTCAAGACATCCATAGAAGAAGCTATAAATGGGAGCAGTTCTTTTATTTGCAGTATTGTGTTAATTACTGTGGCCTGAAAGTAATATGCATTATTTATGTCTTTGGAAAACTCTTGAATATTCTTAAATACATAATCTGAAATAGTTAAATGTAAATCATCGTCAGATGAAATGCCCGAATCTGTGATATTCTCCCCAAAATCGCTTAAGTATTCTATAGAAAACAACATTATTTTCTGCAATGATTCTGCCGAATAAACATTTTGGGTTTTACAACTATCCAGTGCCAGCAGTAGTTGTTTTGACAAATATGCATATGTTGTGCGCACAGCAGAGGCGTATTTATTAATTGTCTCTATAGTACCTCTATCTACAACAAATCTGCTGTTAATAGCAAATAATTCATTAAAAACCTCTAGAAGAGAACTGTCAAATTCACTTAGTATACTTCTTGTTTGTACCTCTCTTGTTATAATATTATTAAAAATTGAACTGTTTGCACCAGAAGAGAAAGTAGACTTGTTATATTCAATGGGATTATACAGATTTTCTGGACCACCAGACATTATCTTCTTTATCGCCATCGATTCTATTGGTGACAAGTTGCTTAGTAGTAAGTGTGATAGCACTTTTTTGCTATTTTCATTGTTTATACTATTTCCATAAATAGTATCTGGGCCAAAAAAATCTTCTTGCAAACTATCTAATAGTCTCTTATATACCTCATGCTTATTCATACTCTCTAAATGCGCATATACATTGCCATATTGCAGGTATTCGTCTAATATAGTGTTATAAATAACATAGGAGTTACTGTTAGACATATCATTTTCTACTGAGTCTATAGGTATAAAAGTATTTTTGTCTTCATATTTATCTTTATAACTTGAATAGGCCAATGTGTGGTTTGAATAAGAGTCTTCATTGTTTTTAGCCATATAAACATCTGGAAATTTCATAGGCTGATATGTCGCCACGGGTATGTCTGTTTGCACTATTGATGAAGTATAATTTATCATTGGATTTATCATAGCTCCTAATATCATTGGTATTGCTAATAATAAGCATTTCTTTCTTTCAACGATTCTTACCATATATTTGTAAAAGAAATACTTTTATTTATAGCTGGAGCATCAAACATTAACTAGCACAATTAACCAATATGATCTTGACGTACTCACGAGGAGTAACGCCACCGCCGCCCTGCTACGTAGCCAAGAGAGAGAAGAGAGTGAAAGGGGAGAGCTCTTTATTGTCTTTAGGAAGCGGCCCAAGCCTGCGCGGACACGGAGTCTCGGGCGCAGTTGTGTTAGGCCTGGCGCTGAAGTTAAGCCGTCGATGCTTCCCTGAGTCTCCCCCTAAATTGGGGGAAGAGCTCCGGTTAAATAGTCGGAAGTTGATATACTGATTCAGAGATCCCGGCCTTTGCTTTGGCGGGATCACCGCGCGAGCTGGCGCGCAGACGGATCGCCCTCGGGGGCTCCCGTCCGAGTGGTGGTGTCACCACATCCTGCCCCTCCTAGCGGAAGGTGAAGCGAAGCGTATCGGTGGGTTCTGCCCAAAACCCCTGGTGTTTGAGTTGGATCCCAGATGGATATGTTGGTTGCGGCAAGTGCGCATGGTTTGGAACTCAGACCTAGCCAAGGGCCTGTCGGTGTGCTCCTGGGAAAGCTGTGGGATGATTGTAGTTGGTTGGTGCGCGAAGGCGCGTGTGTGGAGACTGGAGCGCTCCCCTGCTCCTCTCCGGTTTTCCTGTCCTGATTCTCATAGTGTCGTTGGATGTAGTGGTGTTCTGCCACCGGTAGGATCGTGTGGTCTCAGTAATAGTGTTCTTGATTTGTGTCCCTTAGTGTGTGGGCGCTTGGGTGCTGAGTGAAGGCGGTCTGGCCGCTGTGTGCTGTTTGCGTGAAGGACTGGTCTTGCTCTGGGTCTGGATATAAAGATAAATGAATGATGATTAAGGCTGCCTCGAGCGACGCCGGCCTCGGAGGCGACGCTGCGTCGTGTTGCTGGAGGTGCGTGGGCGGCAGGTTTGCTGCGGCCTAGGGCATGCTGCGGACCATCCGGTGGTGCTAGCAGTTGCGAATAGATATGTTGTTGGCACCATGGGTGCATCCAGAAGTGCCCAAGTAGATTCTGCCTGGTGTGTGTAGGTTATAATGGTGAACTGGGTCGATAGCGCGTGCCATCTGGTGGGGGCGCTATGCTGCCCGATAACTATTCTCTAGGGGCCCGTTCGTCGTGGCGGCCTGGGAATGAGCCTCGTTCTAGTGTCATAGGCCTCTGTTGGGTGACGGTAAATTGAGATAAAATAAATTTCTAGTGGTGCCCGTACCGCACAAGACGTCGCCTGGATGGTCATGGATCCTGGCTGTGATCGATGACGGCGGCTAGGGTTGCCCCCCATGCGGCTACGTGGCGGATCAGGAAGCTTGTGTCTGGGTAGCTTGAGTTGTGGCGCAATTGACCGGCTCCGGGATGTAATATTGGTCATCGGATGCCGAGCGCGGCTAGTAGTAGTTCACTACTCTTGCTCCGTCCTATGCGACTACGCATTGCCCACAGGGCTATTTTGGCTGGCTAGTTTACATTAATGAATTCATTATGACGTACTCACGAGGAGTAACGCCACCGCCGCCCTGCTACGTGGCCAAGAGAGAGAAGAGAGTGAAAGGGGAGAGCTCTTTATTGTCTTTAGGAAGCGGCCCAAGCCTGCGCGGACACGGAGTCTCGGGCGCAGTTGTGTTAGGCCTGGCGCTGAAGTTAAGCCGTCGATGCTTCCCTGAGTCTCCCCCTAAATTGGGGGAAGAGCTCCGGTTAAATAGTCGGAAGTTGATATACTGATTCAGAGATCCCGGCCTTTGCTTTGGCGGGATCACCGCGCGAGCTGGCGCGCAGACGGATCGCCCTCGGGGGCTCCCGTCCGAGTGGTGGTGTCACCACAGATCTAAATGATTTAGAGCTAGTATAGCTATCAACATGTCTGTTCTCATAATTTTATCTTAATAATGTATTAAAAATAAAAAGAACCTATATTTAAAGCAAATAAAATATAGATTTATTAAGAACATGCTATCTATCCTTTGTTTTGGCATAAAACACATACTTATAGCAGGGCTTAATCATAAATCTAATAAATATAGAAATTCTAATTGTTTATAGTTGACTTTTAAAATGTGTAAAATCCTAAAGAAGCAGTTTTATGGTGTTAACATAGACCCACAAATCTCGTTATATATTGGGCTAAATTTATCATAGCCATTATTTAAAATAATTCTGTACTGGATAGTAGATATTTTCGCACAGAAAAATAAATAAAACCCCCATAAAAACATGAAAACCAGCAAACCAATTATAATAACAAGGCATGTCTCTCTATATCGAGAATTTTCTATTTTCATATTAAACAAAGCCTCTTTGAATATATTTCTTAAAAAAACTATTGCAAGAGCTTCTATTATTTCAGCGATTGTAGTGAGTACTTTAGCAGATGATACACATACCAACATGCCCATAAGTATTTTTTTATTCGATAATGGGTTAGAATAATAAAAGCCCAGGCACATAAAAGCAGTTATAATTATAAAACTAAATGCTATGCTTATATATATGAATGACTTTTCTATAATAAAAAATTCTGTGTATATATACGTGTTCTTCCATTTTATATTCACAAAATATATACTGGTATGGGCAAGCGTAATTATTCCACCAATAGATACTATCTTAAGGTATCCTAATAATGAGTCCTGTTTATAATATATTGTTTGAAATAAATATGCAATAGGAATCGAAAGAAAAATCAATGCAAGTAGACTTATATGCATAATATAGACCATTAAATTTGTATAGAAGATTGTCTTTTCATATAAATTAATCAAAAAAGACATACCACTTGTAGGCATTTCATTACGCTCTCCATTTTCTATATTTTTTCTCTCAAGTAATTCTAGTTTAGTTAGAGTACTAAATTCTGTTTTCTGGGTGTTTTCTATTTTTGTATTTTCAGTATTTTTCATCTGGTTTTAAAAATTCTATATACTATTTAAGTAGTTAAGATTGCAGATATAAACAGATTTTAATTGAAATAAAAAAATGTCAAGATCATAAAATTTCAGATATTGAAGTTTGCTCTCAGACGGCATAAATATTAAAAATTTAAATAAATTTTATCTTAAGTTTAATTTATTGGCAATATAAACTAATTCATACTTTGCTAGCCTATGCCACTTATTATATATTTCGGACCAAGCTTGAGGATTAGTAAACAATTTGTTATATATTAGAATTATTTTGAAGTTATTGCTGCTTTTTTATACTGGTTTTCTTTTTAAACATATATAAGTTGTGCTACCGCACTTTCAGATTATAACATAACCCGAAATTTTATGGGGTTTCTATTATTATTTTATTCTTATAGTATGTCATTCGGTTTTTATATAAATATATTTATGACAGTTTGTAAAATAATCTTTGGCGTATTAAGATTTTCTTGTTTCTCTATATATAGCTTGTTTCTCTCTTTTTTAGAATATGAGCTGCTAGATGCCATGACAAAACTTCATATTTATTGAATTCTGAAAACTCTTATATAGTTTATTTCGCATGATATTATGATATGCACACATGAGATATCGTAATATTGGCTAATATGCTACCATGATATGCAGTATCATCCAGTATGTTAATATTACTAACTGTTTCATTGTTTCACAAGAGACAATGTTGCCGCTGAGGTGTATATGGCTCTTGTGTGTTCATGGAAAATAAAAAGATGTAAATAATTGACCTTTAAAATAATTTTGAATCAACAAGATCGTGAGTATGCCAGTTATGGAAACAAATATATCTCTATTAAACAAGTTAAACGATTCTATCATACAATTAGCAGCAGCGCTAGTTAAAATATTCAATGTGAATAATATGTTATTTAGAATAAGTAACAAATCTTGGCACTTATATATGAAAGAGATAAATTTTCAAGAGTTTTCGAAATGTAGCAACGTGCTTCAATTATTTGGAAATAGTTTAAGTACACTATCGATTTTACATCTAATAGTTTCACTGGCATATTCTCTATATGTGTGGCATAGTATATTCTTTAACGCTATTGCATATTTTGGCCTAAAAAGCAATATAGTTTATTATTTGAAATTGGTTATAAACATGCCTATCATGATATCTAGCTCGATTATAACATTCTATTATATCGTTAAATTTCAAATGATTTTAATATCTTTTTCATTAGTTATATGCAAGTCACCCGTCCTCTGTACTTTAATATTGTTTCTATTTCCTATGGCAGTTATATTTCTTTTTTGTGTTATAGTGAATATCATGCAAAGAGTTGTATATTTTAGTATGTTTCGCTATGGTGATATTGATAACAAGCCTATAATTCTAGTCATGTTTATTACTTTTTATTATATTGTAATAGATGAAATCCTAAATATTATAATAAACTATACAAATAATAGCTCAATAATTGAGGTGATAATTGGGATTAATCTTACAATTATACTTATAACAAATATTTTCTCTATCCTCTGCTATCTTAAAATGCAAACACGAGAATTCTTTACTATTTTACATTACCATAGACACCTAGAACATTAAGTTATAAAAACACATCTAAGGTATCCATAAACATGGAAGAATCTATCCCACTATAAAAATTCCCTTTAAAGGCTTATAATTGACTTTCATTAATAATGTATCATACTTTTAGTAATTATAATACAGCAATTATTTAATTAAATTTGGCATAAAATTATGAGTTATATAATGACTAGCAATAAATAAGCGTTAATTACTAGAATGATGTCTATTTAAGCATATTTATAAACTAACCAGAAATTTCACACGAGTTTTTTATACATGGATACATACTATGGATTATATGAAGTAAACGGGCATATTTATATAAGTTTAATTATATACGTTGCATAAAATTATAGGTATATGGCAGTGCATATAGCATATGCTTAATCTAAAGCCTTATATATTCTCTTCATGTTCTATTACTACTATACACAGCCATACATTGACTAATTATACTCTAATTATACTTTTCTCATTTTTTTCTGACGGGATATTTTTTTAATTTTATT